GTCATTTACCTTTGCTGTCCTATTAGCCAATCTAATAAGTATAAAGTAGTACCTCAGAATTGTTTTAATCTGCACTTTTCTAATCAATAGTGAGTTAAGAGTATTTTTTCATATGGCTCTAGATAGCTTTGATTACTTCGTCTGAAAACTGATCTTATCTTTTGATCATTTATCATTTGGGGAATGGCCCTTATTTTTACAAATTTGACTCAGTTCTCTGTGTTTCAGAAATGAGGCCTTTATCAGAGAAACTCGATGAGGTAATATCTGTAAAGCACTTAGTACATTGCCTGACACATAGTAGGTGCTTAATAAATGCATATTCCCTCCCCGCTTCCTGCCTGATCTCTAACTTTCTGTGGGAAGGGAAGTGCTATTCCAAAATACAGATCTCCCACTGCTGTGGTATGGGGAGAAGGTACCAGTCCATCAAATTTCCAGTCTTGGGGAAAGAGAGCGTCACCACTTTTTCAGCTTCAAGTTCTTGCTCCCTTGCCTGAACTACCCAAGATTGGGAAAGGACTTCACCCTTAGGTCATAATATTATTGACTTTAAAAATCGAACTAAATTTTTAAATTAATGATTAACAAATTTCTGCCTTGTCACATCCTCCACATCTCAGTGTTTCTGAACCCCTGAACCAAACCCTATCATCCGAACCCCATTCCGCATCTCCCACTATCCTTATTTCCATTCCCCTTAAACCCCCTCAAAAAATATTCCTAGCCAAATGTCCCATGGAATGCTTACTCCATAGGCAACAAATTGCTTTCATCTTAAGTCTTTTCTTTTTCAACTCCTGTCTTGTGGATCTCACTGAGTCTTGGCTGTCTCCTGATGACATGGCTTCCCTGTCCGACCTTTCTAGCACTGGCTACGCTTGTTCTCCTAGGCACGTTGGTTGAAGGCGGGGGAATTGGAATATACTTTGCTCACCATTGCCGCTTCCTGGTTCTCCTCCTCCCACCGTTACTCAGCAATCTCTCCTTTGAGGTTCATGCATTCCACGTCTGCCACCCTGTAAAATCCTGGTCGCTGTTGTCGACAGACCTCCAGACACTCCTTTTTCTTCCTCAGTGAGTTCAGTACCTGGTTTGTGATCTTTCTCTCCTCTCCAGCTCCTGCCCTCATACTCAGGGACTTTAGCGTACATGTTGATTTGCCTTCAGACAACTGAAACTTCAGTTCTTCAACCTACTTGTTTCCCATAAACTCCCCTTCCATTCTGCCTCAGACATACACAAAGATGTCATATCCTTGATCTTGCTGTCATGCACAAGTGCAGCACCTCCATGTTTGTGAATTCTGAAATTTGTTTATATGATCATCACCTATTGGCTTTCCACCTCTCCCTCTGCCTTGCATGACCATGCTCATCTCTTGGTCCATACCTTGACATCCATTTCTCAGTCCCTCGGTTCTTTCCCAGGTCATCACCTCTGCACTCACTAGCCACACCCTCTTACATTATTCTCTTCTCTTGAGTCCCTTGCCCCCATATATCACTGATTGTGCCCTGCTAAGCCTCAGCTTTATATCACCTCCACAGTCCCACTACTTTCACTTCTACATAGGTGCTACTGACCAAAAGTAGAGAAAGTCATGTAACTGTTCTGACTAGGTTTACTACAAATTTATGTTATACGACCTCAACTGAATCCCCATTGCTTCTAGTCAGTTCTTCTACACCTCCCTTATCAACTCTCTATTGTTGTTCATCCTTTGTTTTTGAAGAGGACCAATGATGTTCCAGGGGGATGACCTTCCCCTGAATTGGATTTAAGTGGAGCAGAGTTATGCAAAGTCATCAGCCTTACTCTGTCCCCCAGAGTCATCAAAGTCCAGTGGCATGACAGAAGTCAAGAATGGCCATGACTGTGGATGCAGTAGATGACTTTGGCATCTTTTATGCCTGACCAAGCTCTTAAGTGCTTGACAGCATTTGCTTCAGCTACTTTCATGGCCATTGAAACTCATTGTTCTTGTCTACCCGTTCTGGGGGAAGTCTTCACGTTCTTAGGGTAGATATTCCTCTGACTGACAGGTTTGAGGCCCATTGGTTACCTTTAGTCTGGTTTAGCCCATCTGCTAAGATAGTGTTACTGGGGTGTGGCTGCTGGGCATGCGACAGCTTCTTGGAGCCACAGGTGAGAGTTGGGTGGCAGATGGACACAAAAAGTAAATGAACAGCCCTGAAAAGGTCTCAAACCAGAGGTGCTAGTCCTTCTTTAACACCTCATATACCCCCAACTCTCTACCATACTCTCCATGGCAGCTTGTCCCAACTTTTTCATTCCTTTTCAAGCCTCCCATGGTTCCTCTCCCCCCATCCTCTCACCTAAGAACCTTGCCTCATATTGTACCGAAATAATTGAGGCCATTCACTGAGAGCTCCTTCTTCTCTCCTCCTCACCCTCCTAGCATTCAGATGCCTTCTGTCACTGTTTCCTCATTCACCCCTGTCTCACACAAAGAGGTGGCTCTTCTCCTTGCCAAGGGAAGGGACTCTACCTGTTTAGTCCTCTCTCCCGTTCTGTTTTGTCTCCTTCAGTTGTTTGCCCCATCTGTCTTCTTCACTCTCTCATCTTCAGTCGATCTCTACTTCTGCTCCTGCTATCTTTACCATCTTCTACTGTCTGCTTCTCTCCTGCCTACAAGCATGCCCGTATCTTCCTCATTCTCAAAAAAACCCATCACTTGATCCTTCTATTCCTCCAAACTCTTCATATCATATCTCTCCTGCCTTTTGTGACTAAACTGGAGAAGGCCATTCTACAATAGGTGCCTCCACTTCCTTTTCTCTCACTCTATGGCTTCTGACCTCATTATTTTACTGGAAACTGCACTCTCCAAAGTTATCAATCTTTTAATTGCCAAATCCAATGGCTTTTCCACAATCCTCATTCTTCACCTCTGCAGCCTTTGACACTGTCAATTACTCGTTACCACTTGATAATCTTTTCTCATTAGGATTTTGAGATTCTACTCCCTCTCGTAGTTTTCTTACCTGTCTGTCCTCTCAATCTACTTCCACTTCTTCTCAGCCTCCTTTTCTGGATCTTCATTCAGGTTACACCTGCTAACTGTGGGTGTCCCATAGGATTCTGTCCTGGGCTTTCTTCTGTTCTTGATCTGTACTATTTCTGTATGCTGATATGTTCTTTAATGAACATCTCTCTTTGCTCACATGTACTTAGTCAGCCTTAACTTCTCTGTTGACCTCCAGTTTTGCCTCTCCAACTGTCTATTAGACTTCTTACACTGGATGTTCTATAGGCATCTTAAATTCAACATATCCAAAACAGAATTTTTTCTCTTTTCCCCCCAAACCTCCCCCTTCCAGACTTCTCTGTTACTGTCAAGGCACCATCAACCTACCAGTCCCTCATATTCACAACCTAGGTATCATCCACTATTCCTCACTATCTCTCATTCCCCCTCCCCCAAATCCAATCTGTTGCCATGGCCTGTTGATTTGACCTTTGCAAAATCTCTTGAATACTCTTCCCTTCTCTCCTTTCATACCTGGATTATTGTTATAGTCTGCTTGTGGATATGCCTGCCTCCAGTCTTTCCCCATTCCTGGCCAATCTTCATTTAGTTGCCAAAGTAATTTTCTTAAGGTACAGGCCTAAACATGTAGCGCCACCCCCCTGAAAATTAGAGGGTCTTCCTGTCACCTTCAGGAGAAAATGTAAAATCCTATTTGATATTCAAAGCTCTGCAACACCCCATCTCTCCTCATCCACCCGCTCCCCACTTCCAGTCCTCTTACACCTTACACACAACCATATACTCTTCAGTCCAGTGATACTGACATCCTTGCTGTTCATTACATAAGGTACTCCTTCTCTTGGTTTGGGTATTTTCACTGGCTGTCTCTCATGCTTGGAATACTTTTCCTCCTCATTTCCACTCCCTGGCTTCTCTGGCTTCCTAAAAAAAATCCTACATAATAGAGGAAGCATTTCCCAATTCTCTTAAATCTGGTGCCTTCTCTTGATTATTTCTTAATTGTGCTAAATATATATAGCTTTTTTTGTACATCATTGTTTGCATATTATCTCCTCCATCAGCTCCTGAAAGACAGGGACCGTTTTTTACCTTTCTTTGTATTCCCAGCACACTGCTTGGCACATACTAGGTGCCTAATGAGTATTTTTTCACTGCCAGATATGAGATATTGTTAAGGTAGAAATTACAATATTTGATAACTGATTAGATATGAGGAATGAGGAAGTGTGTGGACTCGTGGTAACACTGAGGTTGCCAACCTGTGTGTCTGGAAGGATGATGGTGCCCTCTACTGAAACAGAGAAATTTGTAAGAGGGGTTGAATTTTGGGGGAAACATAATGAGTTATGTTTGGGATATGTGTGACCTTGAGCAAGCTATTTTCTGTAAAATGAAGGAATTTTACTAAATGATGTTTAAGGTCCCTTCCAGTTCTAACAATGTGTAATGTTTTGGCAAAAATTGTTGTTGTTTTTTTTTTTTTTTTCTTATTCTTAGATTTGAAGTTTAACTATTTCAGAAACTTGAAGACTTTTTTTCCCTAAAGTCACATGTAGTTTTAGCACATATAACTGTTACATGTTGAATCCTCATAACACTGATGAACTATACATATGTTGTTACATTTAAAATATATTATACATAACTCATAATACAATGCCCAATTCAGCCCATTCAGGGTGTCCTAATTAGACTTCATCCAAGATTTATTTTGAATCCTCTAAAGAACTTTCTATTCACGTATTCACTTTTTTAAAGCTTGGAATTGACTTTTAAGTTTGTTTCTGGACATGGAATTTATTTTAGTTTAAGATTTATTAATTGTGTCTTTCTAAATAACAAGAAGACAAGTGGTAGTTATATAGCACTGGAAATCCTGAATCTCATTTGCCAAAATGGTATTTCAAAGTAATACAGAAATAACTAGCTGATTCTTATGTATGAGACTCTTCAAATCTTTAAATTCCTCTCTTTGTGTTTGCAGGAAACCTGTCCAGTTTAAATCGTCTTGGACTAAGGTATAACAGACTGTCAGCAATACCAAGGTCATTAGCAAAATGCAGTGCACTTGAGGAGCTGAATTTAGAGAACAATAACATTTCTACTTTGCCCGAGGTAAGAGGTGGATCAGGCAAACTCTTACATTCAGTCTGAAAAAATTAACAGAAATCCAGTAAAAAAAAACAAAACAAAACAAAAAAAGAAAACAGTAAATCCAGTGTGTACAGCTTTGTAAGGAATTAGAGTGATTGGAATGACATGAGTGGAATGTGTCAGTGGTGAATATTCACAGCTTTTAGAAGGGAGAAAAACAACAAAGGAGGAAATCGAAAGGAATAGTTTAAAGAGGACAAAATGGATTTGTTTCCTTTGGGTACCATGTAAATTTTTCATGTTGATTTTGGCCACTGGTAGCAAAAACTATTGAGCGTAAATATGTGGCTGGTTTTAAGGACAATACTAAATGACTCCACCAACTTAAGTTTCAGAAATTTATTGAAGAAATTATATATGTCCTGACCCTTTCCTGCCTTCAGGAAAACTTCTCAAGGTTGTTGTGGGATCAGATGATGATGTAGGTCTTTGTAAACTCTCCTTGCTGTGACTTCCAGTCCATCCATGCCTCTGTGCTCTCCAAGGTCATCTTCACTATTCTGGCTTCCATTTCATAGGGTCATGTGATCATAATAAGGTATCTCAGAGAACATGTAGTCCAATCTTCTCATTTTATTGGCAGCTTAGAATGAGAGCAGTTAAGTGACTAGTCCGGGGTCACAGTAGCATAGTAGTTATCTCTCCACTTCACTTATCTTGAGCCTGTAGTTAGTTAATTCAACTATATACTTTCTCTGCTTGAATCTCTTATATCCTTGTCTTGTCACAACTCATGCCTATTTGAACCTGAAGTCTAAATTATCCCCACAGCTGCCTTCTCTGACCATATGCACATGCTGCTGGAGGAAGTCATACAACCATGCTGATTAAATTCACTGCCTAAAGTCAGCTCTTCTGTGTACAGCAAGGCAAAGTAGCCATGGAGTCGGGAGTTCATTTCAGTACCTGGGTTCAATTCCTGTCTTCGCTATATACTGGCTTCATGATCAGAGGCAAGCCACTTAATCTCAAAGTGTTCTGAGAGATACTCCAAGTTGCAGAGAAGGGATGAACCTGTCTTGGTAGAGGGAAATACCACATTTGGAAGTTCTGTATATCAGTGATATCACAATTCCATTTCCTTTCTCTATCCTTAATTGACTGATCTCATTCCCACAGCAGCTGTTTCAAATCTTGTCTTCTCCTTGAACCTCCCACATTATCCCCTGGCTATCCCTTTCAACAGAGGAACTTGCCTCCTACTTTACTAGGAAAATAGAGGATATTCACTGTGAGCTCCATCTTTTAGCTTATCCTGTGACAGAAAACCCTTCTACTTCATGTTCCATCCTTTCTTCTTTCGCCTCAGTCTCTAAAGAAGTGACCCGCCCTCTTCTTTGCCATGGTCAATTCCTTTACTTCTGCTCTTGGTGCCATTTCCTCTTGTACCATCCTACAATCATTCTCAATCATCAATCACTGTCTCTTATTATCAATCTCTCCTTATCTACGGGCTTCTTCCCTATGACCTACAAACATGCCTAAATCATTCCTATTCTTAAAAAAAGATAAATAAAACTTCCTTTGATCATACTCTTCCCTCAAGGATTCATTCTCTGTCTCTCCCTTTCATAGCTAAATTCCTAGAAAAAGGCATATATACTCATTGCTTACACTTCTAATTTTTTTATTCACTTTCTCAACTCTTTTAAAGATAATTTTACTGTTATCTTTTATTTTTTATATCACCAAAATTTCTCCCGGTATCTCTTTCCCATCTTTCTCCCAGAAAGCCATCCCATATAACAAATAACATTTTTTTAGAAGGAAAAAATTGGCAAAACAGAGCAATACATTGAAAAAAGTCTGAAAATAAATACATTATAGGACTCCTGTGGGCTTCCCACCTCTACAAAGGAGAGGGGTGAGTGTCTCTTTTCATTTCTTTTCTTTGAGTCTGTGCTTGTTCTTTGTAATTTTTCAGCATTCATTTATAATTGCTTTGTAGTGGTTCTTTCCATTGATTTTTTTTGTATTTATTATTTCTTAGGGTACAGTAGTATCCATTACATCTGATATATTACAGTTTATTTAGCCATACTTTCTCATCTTTTTGCAATCTGGCTAGCAGTTCAACTCTAGGATTACCAGTGATTTCTTAATTGCCAAATCTTATGACCTCTTTTCAACCCTTATCCTTTTTTACCTTTCCATAGCATTTAATCCTATTGACCATCCCTTCCCCCCTCCACCTTGCTAGCCTACTTCATGCTCCCCAAATGTGATGATCTACCTCCTATTTCTGAGTCTTTATGCAAGCTGTCCTTCATTTCTTGAATGCATTCTGTCCATACTTCAACTTACAGAATCTCTAGCTTTTCTCAAGAGTAATTTCATGTGTGGCCCTCTGAAACTGGCCTGTTCTAATCCCCCAAATTGCTAATGCCATAGCTCTCAGAAATTATTTATTTATTTATATGTGTTTATGTTTTTCCTTTCTTTCTCTCAGTAGAATGTGATCTCTTTGAAGGCAGGGACTATTTTCATTTTCATTTTCATCTTTATATCCCTAGTGCCTCCAGCATAGTTTGAATATATATAAACACTATTTTAGTGTCAATTAGCTCTAAGGTTACAAAGATTACAATAATCCTTGCCCTCATGGAGGGCTTAATAAATATTTATTGAATCGAAAATGGTATCTGAGAATGTGATTTGAATTTCTAGATTAAAGCAAGGCAACATTTATTAGGCACTTACTATGTGCCAGACACTATGCTAAGGGCTGAAGATATAATATAAGCAAAAAGAAAGATAGTTCCTGGCCTCAAAAAAGCTTCCATTCTAAGGGGGAAGACAACACACAAAAGGGAACTGAAAATTGGGGGGGGAGGGTAGGGGAGGGTGTCTGTGCCAGGGTGTGGTGGCAAAGTGAAGAAAGTCAGAAGCAGATAAAAGAGTAGAAGTAAGGTTGGTTGGCCTGGGCTCTTCCTCAAAATGAATGCTCCAGGAGGAACTCAAGAGTGGGAGAAGGGGGCCAGCATGGTGGAGGAATGTTCCAGGGTGAGAAGACGGTGAGGGTGGGTAGATATGCCTAAGATGCAGAGGGAGGTTCCAAGGTGAAACTATAGCTGAGGCCTGGTGGTCAAGTCTGGAAAGTCAGAGGAATAACAAGCTCTTGACAAGGTGTGGAATGATCATTTTGGGTTTGCCTGGTATCTTGAAAATCTTATTTAGGAGTGTTTTAAAATAAAAAGAATAGGGGAAGGAGGACACTGCCTAAGAAATTAACTAAAATAGATACCTTGGGAGAGTGGCCACAGTGTGGGAAGAAGAGTAATTCAGATATATAGATGTCTGTAGGAGACAAAAATCCAAGCTTGAAGCCAGTAGTTAAATTTATGATCTTAGGTGTCTATAAACAAATGCCCAGAGTTTTGGCAGGAAAAGAGAGGAACTAGTGGAACCAATGCAAGGAGAAACTTTGACTTGATAAATATCACTGATATTTTTTTGAAATGAAACTAAAGCCTGGAAAATAATGCTGATTGGGTATACTTTAGGAGGATAAGATTTATTTGTTTGTTTAGAGCTATAAAAAGACATTAGTGGCCATTGAATCCAACCTCCCATTTTGCAGATGAGGAAACTAAGATGTTAACTGATTTGCCTAGGGGTCATGTAGCTAGTATGTATCTGAAGCAGGATTTTAGCCCAGGTCATTCTAGCTCCAAGGCCAGTGCCTTTTCCATTATGTCATACTGCCTAGACAGAAAGATAAAAGGTAGGGATAATGGAAAAGGGCAGATGGAGATGGAATGATATTCTTTATTATGATGGCATACTCCTTCAAAATGTGAGGAAACCAACAAGTGGAAATTCTGTTCTTGTTGCGATTCTTACAAATAGGACAAGTTACTGGGGGAGGAAATGATAGAAAATATGGGGAGAAGTGACCACTGCCCTCTAGAGTTTGTGATAGAGAAAGAGTGCCAAGGTTGACATCTACTCAAGATTTATGGATAGCAAGATTTCAGAAGTTTCAGAGGAATGGTAATTAAGACCCCACAGACTGAAATAAGAAATGGAAAACTCAAATTGAAATTCTGAAGAGACAAGGGAAAATCATTCCAATATGAAGTTTTCTGAAGAGACAATAAGGGTGTACAGGGAATTCCCTTGCCAACTGGAATTTTTTAAAAAGCTACGTACAGAAAATGGAAGCAAGGGTAGCTAACAAAGGAGGGACATTAAAGCATGGTATAGACCTGTAAAATAGCTGTCAGGAACACAAAGTTAGGTAATACTAATGAGAAAAGCTAAGAACCACAAAAAGGGTAGATTTTTTTCAAACTATATATTGGGGAAAGAGGAGTAGCACAGAAGGGAGAGGATTTTGCTTTCGGTGGATAGGATAATAACCAACAACAAAAGAAAGGCAGAGCTGCTCAGTTCTTCATTTGTTTCTGCTTTGTCTGCCAAGGAAAATGACCTTTGCACTAGAAATGGCAGAATGTAAATGACTAACAAGAGGTTGATACACAAGGTAAGTTAGGAGATAATGAGAACACCTTGCTGTACTTGATGAATTCAGATCCCCTGTTCCAGTTGCACTATGCATCCTTGGATACCAGAAGAACTGGCAGTGTGATTACTGAACCACCGTCATTGATATTTGAAAGCTGATGAAGAACAGAAGAAATACAGGACTAGAGAAAAGCGAATGTCTGGCTTTTCAAAATAGGGAATAAGATAAAGAATCCACAGACTATTGGCCGATGATCTTCACTTTATTTCCTGGGAAAATTCTAGAGTGGAATATAAAAGAGATGGCCAACAAACATCTAGAAAAAGAAATAGTGATTACAAAAGACATCATGGCTTCATCTAGAACAGGCTATGCCAGACTAACTTTATTCCATTACTAAAGGAGCTAGATGAAGGAAATGCTAGAAATATAGTTTACCTAGATTCTAGCAAAGCTTTTGATAAAGTACTCCATACTATTCTTGGGAAGAAGTTGGAAAGATGTGAACTAGACCAGGATTCTCTAGATTTTTTGATTGCACATTCCTATCAATAACATATTTTGAGCATTTGACCCCAATTTGTGTGTATTTTTTTGTAAATGATAAACATATACTGAGAACCAACCTGGCAGAGTGGATCTGGCCTAAAAGTCAAAAGGCCTGGGCTGGGGGTAAGGGTATGTATATACCCTTATATATAGCTATATATATGAGGCTGTGTAGCCTCAGGCAAATTGCTTAACCTCTCTGGGCTCTTGGCAATTCCAGGAGTTGCATAGAAGGTGCCAGCCTGAATTGGTAGAAGGAGTTTCTTCTGTTAGGAGTTTCTTATACCAGTGAAATCATAGGTCCAGTCTCAATCCTTAAATGTATATTATAATATAAACACACAAATGTAGAAATTTTAAAAGATAAGATAAAGATGAAATAAACAGTTTTTATGTAATAAGATTGGAAAGATAGATTAGAGTTAGATTGTGTTGGGCTTTAAATGCTGAACAGAGAAGTTTATATTTGGTCTTACAGTCAATCAAGAGCCACTAGTTTGTTGCATGGGGGAAGACATGGTCAGACTTACACTTTAGGAAAATCACTTTGACAGGTTAGTGGATTGTGGGTTGGGAGTGGGGAGAGATTTGAAGCAGGGAGGCCAATATGGTGGCAACTTTTATGGAACAGTGAGGAGGTGATGAGGGCCTAAACTAGGGTGCTGGCTACATGAGTGAAGAGAAGGGGATAAATGTGAGAATGGTGGAGGTAGAAATGACAAAATTTGGCAACTGTTTGGGTTTGTGGAACGAATGAAGGTGAGGAGTCTAGGGTGACACTTAAATCAGCAAGCTAGGTGACTCAAAGAATGCTGATATCCTCTAAAGAAATAGAAAAGTTCAGAAGAGGGGTAGGCTGTTTGGAGGCAGGGGAGATCATATAATGAAATCTGTGATACAGATTAGAAACTCATTTCTGCTCCCTCTTCCTGTTCAATTTACTCTGTCCCATCAGAAAAGAAAAGAAAGTGGAGAGGACAGGGCTCATACTCACCAGTCACTACTTTGGAACACAGAGCCTGCCCTCTGAGGCATGTGTGATTAGGGGATATAGAGGAATGCAGAATTTTTCCAGTCACACCTTCACAGCTGCTTCTGTAGGTACCCTGCTGTGGTTAGATTAAAAATGTCCTGAACGATCATTACTTAGCACAGAAGGGGGAAGGTTGGGAGCTTGCACAGTGAAGGAGTGTTGGACTAATGAATGAAGGATAGGTGTGGTTATATTGGAGAAAAGCTCAGGGATGGTGCAATGTGACCCCATCTTATCACTCTTTGGTTGATCACATGCTCTATGGTGGTTGTGCTGTGGTTTCCTGAGGCATTTGGTCCATCACTTTGGAGACAACCTGTGCCAGACAGTAACAGTATTAGATGGATCTGGAACTGTTTGAATGGCTAAACTCAAAGAGTAGTCATTAATGGCTTCATGTCATCTTGTCAGGAGATCTCTAGTGAGAGTGCACCAAGAGTATCTGCTTTGCCTTGTGACTGTTTAACATTTTTGTCAGGGACTTGGATAAAGGCATAGATGGCATATACAGATGATAACAAAGCTGAGAAGGATAGTTAACACACTGCATGATAAGTCAGGATCCAAAAATATTTTGACAATCTAGATCATTGGACTGAATTTAATAAAATGAAATTCAGTAGGGGTGAATGTAGTCTTACACTTAAGGTTTAAAAAAATCAACTTCACATGCAAAATGGGAGAGGCATGTTTAGACAGCAGTATAGAAAAAATATAAGATTTTAGTGAGCTTCAAAAGCTCAGTATAAGTCAACAGTGATGTAGCTGTCTCCCCCCCCAATGTGTTAATTAGCTTCATTAAGAGAGGCATAACTTCCAGGATTGGAAGTAAAGAGGTGATAGACCTTCTGGACGTTAATCTTGTCAGACATCAAAAATGATGTTCATTTCTGAGTGCCATCATTTAGGAAGGATATTGACAAATTAGAGAGCCTGGGAGAAGGTAACTAGTATGATGAAGGACCTTGAATGCATGTCATATATGAATTATTTGAAGGAAGTAGGAGGATTTTGTTTAGTGAAAACTTGGGGGCAACACACTCACTGTCTTTAAGTATTTGAAAGCTTATTATATAGAAAAGGGATTAGACTTATTCTATTTGGCCCCAGATGGCAATATCAGGTAAAAGTTGAAAAGAAACAAATTTAGCCTTGATATAAGGGAACACTTCTTAACAATTAGAGCTGTCTAAAAAGTTCAGTGGGCTGCCACAGTATACAGTGGGTTCTCCATCATGGTAAGTCTTTAAGCAAAGTCATTTAGACTCCTCACTGGGTGGTTATGTTATAGTGGGAAGTATTTTTAAGTTATAGGTAGGACTAAATAACTGGTAGAGTCCCAACAAACTCAGAAATTACATGATTCTGCCAATTGAATTGAATGCTAGTGATTATTGTTATCATTACTAACAATGAATAATAATAATAATAATAATAATAATAGTAATAAATGTAGATATACCATAAAATCTCACCTAGTTGACTCCTGCCAAAATAGATAAAAAATAATTTGAGACAGTTTTGTCAGTATGCAAGTGAAGGTTCCAGGGCTATAAATACTAGATTAGCACTCTATGCTGTGAATCTGAATTTAATCTTCCTTAGCGCTGCTCCCTGTGGCTTTAGATTTAGATTCCAGCCACATTCCTTGCTAGAGCCAGTACCAGGCTCTTCTTAACTGTGCCACCATAAAAAAGTATAGTAAGAGATAGAGCACTTGTCACCTTAAAATAACCTATCTGGTGACAGCTTTGAGGCAGACTAGAGTCAGGAAGACCTGAGTTCAAATCCTGCCTCAGACACTAGCCACGTGACCCCGAGAAGTCACTTAACCTCTGTTTACCTAGGAGGGAACTAGGTGGCTCAGTAAATAGGATACTGGGCGTGGAGGCAGAGAGACCTGAGTTTAAATCCAGCCTCAGACACTTGCTAGCTGTGTGACCCTGGTCAAGTCACATAACCTATGTTTGACTTAATCCACTGGAGAAGGAAATGGCAAACCACTCTATTATCTTTGCCAAGGAAACCCCATGGACAGTACAGCCTACGGGTCATGAAGAGTTGGACATGATGAAGAACAACAACAAAAACTTGACAGTAAGCATAAATAAATAGGGCTTTTGTGTGTTGTAACCCATATATGTAAACTGGATCACTTTTCAGGTGGGTAAAGCTTCTTCAAAAGGCCTATGCACATTTGGAAAAGCATTAAGGTTCTAACTGAACTATCAACATATTGAAAGTGTCATGTTTTTATTGAAAATTTGACATCACTGGAATTCATAAACAAAGGGGAAAAAAGGACAAATCTGTTGTATAATACTTGTAAGGCTATTAGTTTCTTATGAGAACTTGACTTCGAATTAGATACACAGAGAAAGAATTAGGTACCACTTATGCAGAGCTTTGTTTATACTGCTCTTCTGAAATCAAAGTGAAACGTTTCAAATACTAATGTCTTTAAATGTTTCTCAAATATATAGTCCACATTTATCCCTTTGTTTGGTTTTTGCTCTTCTACAAATTGAGCAGTTTTCACATATAGTTTAGAATATGTCTTCTAAGATTTTCTCATTGCTACGTATCTTGAAGGCAATGAATCACCAGGTGATAGAAGGAGTAACTTTACTGATGATTCTAATTCTGTGTATTTCATACTCTACAGGGTCTATTATCAAGTCTTGTGAATCTCAATAGTTTGACACTAGCTAGAAATTGTTTCCAGTCATATCCAGTGGGTGGTCCATCTCAGTTCTCCACCATCTATTCCCTCAATATGGAACACAACAGAATCAATAAAATTCCATTTGGAATTTTCTCCAGAGCAAAAGTATTAAGCAAGCTGAATATGAAGGTAAGAATCTCTGTTATGTAGAAAATCTTTGTTGGTAATTCTTTGGTCACTGCTAACAGTGCAACCTGAAATGTATTATTTTTTTCTCTGTTTCCCATTTATTTTTAGCACAACTAGACCTATGCTTAGGATATGTGCTCTCTTTCTTTCTCTCTCTCTTTCCCCATATACACGTGTGTGTGTGTGTGTGTGTGTGTGTGTGTGTGTGTGTGTATTTCCCAATATTGTAATACTAAGAAAAATAGGTTCATCCTTGAAATCTTGGTCAATGGCGGAAGTTGGTGATTAGTTTAGACATGTGACAGTGACACTAATTTTGAATATTTAGAATGAAGCAAGAAACTTAGAGGCAAAGTAATTTGTCAATTTAATAATACATTTTGATAGAAGCTATGATGTTGAATAAGTTTGACAGCTGTATAAAAACTAGGCTTTTTTTGAGTCTTTTTTTTTTCCTTGTTAAAAATCTCTAACAAGCCTTGTCTTAAATCTCCCTTAAAATATTATGTTACATGTTAACAAAACTTTTTCTTCAAAGTAATTTCAAAGTCTAAGTAAAAGCCTGGTTTTTCCCTTTTTTTTCCTAAAGAAGAAAACTTTTCTAAGCCAAAATTATTTAATATGTCATGAATTAAAATGTTTGGCTGTTTTCTAAATAACTTCTGAATAAAAAGCAGTAAGCTTAAACTTTTTAAATAAATTACTATTTTTAAAGAGAAAACTTGAATTTTCATGTTAGTATATTCTATTTTTAATTTCTGTTATGGATTGTGTACTTAAATGAAAGGCTAGAGATTTATTCATTTGTGTATGTTTTCAGTTGTCATCTTGTTAAGGTATTCCTTTTTAATTTTTTTTCCTTTCGCATTTAAAACTTCTGACCAGTATTAAAAAAATTAAAAGAATGATTTATTCTTAGTTTTTCTGAGATGCATTTTTTTTTCCTTTTGTGCTTATTCATTTTTTTGGGGGGGGGGTGAGGCAATTGGGGTTAAGTGACTTGCCCAGGGTCACATAGCTAGTAAGTGTCAAGTGTCTGAGACCAGATTTGAACTCAGGTCCTCCTGACTTCAGGGTCAGTGCTCTATCCACTGCACCACCTAGCTGCCCCTGCTTATTCATTTCTTAGGTATACACATAGATTCTTAGAATTGGAAGGGACCGTCTGTAATAGCCTCCCATCCAACTCAAGAAATCCTCTTTATAGTATTTCTTATAAGAGGTTTTATTTCTGAAAAGTCGTTACCCAGTCAATACTTAAACATTGTTCCAGTAAGAGTCTATCTAAGTTTTTAAACATGAATTACCCCCCAAATAGACCATCACAGTAACCAAGATCTTTGAAATATTAAATGCTGTTCCATTCATAGTTTATAATTTACAGTGCAAATGATCATATATTGGAAACAGTTTTCCATCGTAATCTCTAAATAAAAATCTTCTGTTTGTTTTTGGGAGCTCTCTGGGCTTTTAAACAAAGTATATAAAGTATTTTTTTCTTTTAAAGTATTTTCATTTTATATTATAAGGCTATAGAAGACAGAAATAGGATTTTTTTTTTAGTTTTCCTCTAATGGTCCCTCCATCCTTCTCCCTACTCCCAGTTTTCCTATTTTGAATGCTGTTTATTTTCTAATTTCCTAGGACAATCAGTTGACCTCCCTTCCATTGGACTTTGGGACTTGGACCAGTATGGTAGAATTGAATTTAGCTACCAATCAGCTCGCAAAAATCCCTGAGGATGTGTCAGGGCTCGTTTCCCTTGAGGTAAGACTATGAGAGAAAGCTACTTGTTAGATTTATTCTAGAATTATCCAGTTTATAGACTCTTAAATTAAAATAGCAGGTTATACTTGGGCACATATAGTAATTAAATATATCAGAATTCTATAACAAACTCATCCTTGTTCTCTGATAAGGTGAGGTTTAGATTCAGTGCCTGTCTATATATAGAGAGCCATGCATGTCCCCTGAATAGTTCATATATTTGAAGGCTATAAGCAGGTTTGTAAAAATGTTTACCTCAGTTTTAATTGGTCTGTATTTACTCTGAAAAGGTATGCAAGTAGAAAAATTAACATTTTGATCTAGCATAATTTAACTCCATATGATATTTTGAAAGCCTTTTTAAAAAAATGAGTCAAGTTTTATCATAGTTTTGGTAGACCTTTGTGGTTAATTCTTAAAATATTAAATGTAAATAGTGGCGTATAAAAGCATTGACTCATTTGCCATTTTTTTATTTTTAAGCAATTTAGTGGAAACTGGAGCTTTTTTTTTCTTTCGAATGGGTGAGCATTGTTCCAGTTAAGTGAAAATACTTTAGTTTTCATTGGCTGTGATTACTTCCCCCAAAATGAGATTTCAGGGATGTACACAATTATTTAACAAAAATTGTATCTTTTCCGTTTTTTAAAAAACAGAATAATGCTATATACTTTATACATTCTCATTATAATAATAACTGACATTTATACAGTATTTTAAAGTTTGCAAATGTTTTACATGATTATCTCATTGGATCTTCACAATAATGTGAAGTAGATAATATAGTTATTACTATCAATATTTTACAATTAAGAAATGGAGGCATATCAAGGGTCAGTAACTTTCCCTTGATAACACATCCAGTAAACGGGAGCATTGGTATTTAAAACTCCTCCACCTGACATCATTAGCACTCCACCTGCTCTTTTAGTAGAATGGGGCTCTTTTTTAAGTTCTGAGTCACACAGTGTTAATATAGAATTCACTCCCTTTTCTTTGCATTACCTACCCTAAACCATTTCTCCATTTCTCTTTAGGTTCTAATCTTGTCAAACAATGTTCTGAAGAAGCTCCCTCATGGCCTTGGAAACCTTCGGAAGTTAAGAGAATTGGACCTAGAGGAGAACAAACTAGAATCCTTGCCGAATGAAATTGCTTACCTTAAAGATTTGCAGGTAAAATGATATAATAATGTTATATGCCCTTGGTTTATACTTTCCTCTCTTGAATTTGGCCTGTATCTTGAATCAGTTTCATCATCATTGAATCATAGGGATGAAGAATCTGAGGGCTCAGCTAGTCTGTTAATTCAAATCAACATTCTCTAGATACCTAAGTTCAGGGCAATGTGTCAAGGACAAGTAAAAAACATAGATCACAACTTATTCTGTAACCTTCAACATTTCACTGTAATCATGCCTCACTTGAAATTCAAAGAAAAGGAAAGAAGCAAATGTACCTCAGTACCCCTGTGAGAAGTAAAATACCTAGACGAGGAGGGGGGAAGCGTTTTGCTACCTAGTTTTACTAGTGTCCTAGTGGGACTTTTAGTGACTTGTATTCTTTGTATGTCGAAAGTGGTCAAGTGCTTTGGGTCACCATATTTGGTGTCCTGCTTGGTGATATTAGGAAGTGTTCCATTGGTTTTGGTGTAAAGAGTGGGTGCTAATAATTCATGAATATAGAATAGTCAGGTGGGGTGTTCTCCTAGTTCTTTGGGCAGCAGTGGCTCCCCTCATGCCCTCAATAGTCATCCAAAGCTGGAGTCTAGCTCACAGGCAAGGAAAATACCCTGAGGCCGCCATAAAGCCACATTTATGTCTGTATGTAAATCAAATCAACTTCTGCCTTGGCTGTCATTCCAGACTTTGGTCCTAAAATGGCCTAGGAGCTGAGGTCTATGACGGTGGCTGGGATCTGGAGCCTATTTTATTTTCTGTATTCAAAAAGATTAATTTATAAAATAATCCTAAATAAGTGGATGCTTTCTATTTTTCTGAATGAGAACAATTCACAGCTTTTGTAAAGGTTTAATGTAGTCCTGTTGTATTTTCTATAAATGTTCTTCTGGAAGAACCTATTTTGTTAATTTAGCAGGTATGTATTCTAAAGTGTCCCTTTGCCATAGGAGAAATATGTAACACTCTGTTTTTAAAAATGATTAATCCTTCAGAAATTAGTCCTGACGAACAACCAGTTGAATAATCTTCCCAGAGGAATTGGTCACCTTACCAATCTTACACATCTTGGCCTTGGAGAGAACCTTCTTGCCCATCTTCCTGAGGAAATTGGTATGAAATAGTTTCTGATCGTTAACTTTGTACTAAACAAACTTGGTCATATGTGGTAGAGTAGTATTTATAGCTCAGTATTATGAACCTTTATTTGTAAACTAATATAACTAATAATGTTAGTGTTGTAATTACCAAGATTTAGCTAACCTTCTTTGTACCATCCTTAATGGTATTAGTACTTTGAAAGGACACAAGATTATCTGTGAAATAAATATTTCTAAGATATTTAATATTCCTGACAGAGATTACATATAATCTTAATTTAAAAAAAAAATTATTTGCCCTTAATTTAAGGCAAACATTTGTGGGAAATATTTCTTGACTCAAAAGCCAAAAAGTCATTTCCTTATGGGATACTATGGTAATTGTTAATGAAAGCTTTTATTTTTATGATTATTTATTATTTTAAGAGTGAATTCTTATATTATCCTTTGGGTCTCACAGTAATGGCATGAAATGGGATGGGGCAAGTTGTGTTTCTACTTTTCAGAATGCAAAACTGAGGATTACAGAAGTTGTGACTTGCTTGAAGATCATTTGGCTATTAAGTGGTGTGTTAGAGACTTGAACCTGAGGACACGTAGACCCACTATTCTATCCGCTACCCTGTGGTGCCTCAGTGGCCTTAAAATGGGGCCGTTTAGTAAAGAATGCAAAATTTGAGAATTTAGAAGATGGAAGGGTAACATAAAAATTTCTAATATGTTTAAATATCCAGTGGACATTTGGGTCCTCATAAGAAGACCCCCAGGAGAGCCCAAAGAAATGAACTAAAGCTCAGTGGCTTGATTGTGGCTTAATGGCCATGGATACCTAGCTTAATATTTTGACAAAATTAGTGAACATTTATAAACTGGTCGTATTGATATGATACATAGAGAAATTGTGAGAGGCAGCTCCAAGAAGGGTCTCTTGATGCTGTACTGTAAGAAGTTAAGGAGTATTCTCAGAAGAGGCTGGGAGGAATGAATGTACAGGCAGACGTACACTTCAGACAACAATCATCTCTTTATTATGTGCCTCCTATTTGCCAGGCATTAAATAATTATTGATTCATTCTATTCAGGTACACTGGAGAACCTCGAAGAGCTATATTTGAATGACAACCCTAACCTTCACGGCCTTCCTTTTGAGTTGGCTCTCTGCAGCAAACTGTCAATCATGAGTATTGAGAACTGTCCCCTCAGTCACCTTCCACCTCAGATTGTTGCAGGAGGACCATCTTTCATCATTCAGTTTCTAAAGATGCAAGGTCCATATCGTGCCATGGTCTGATGCATATCAGTTGGTCCCATACACTGTACAAAATATAAACTGCATTAATGTTGTCTCATATCTATATCTGTATCTCTGTTTGTAGATATTGATATATATATGGCAGATTTATTAAGACTGCATTATGTGTTTCTGCTAATAGAGGAATCATAGCCATTTAGATTTTTTTTATTCTGTACAAAATGCTTGTTTGAGTTTTCTTTGCTGAATTTGATGGATTTTTGTCTGTTGAGTCATATGTAATACCAGTTCACTTAATACATTTGCCAACAAATTTAAAAAATTATTAAATTTAAGGGATAAAAATAGTATTGTTAGATAGACTTTCTATTAGGAAAAATAATGTAAAATATTTGTTGCAACTTTTCATCTTCATTTTTCCCTTCTCCTTGTCAGAACCCTGTAATGTCATACGCCCTAAAGATAGAATTTTTCTTTAACTTATTTTGAGATTTGAAACAGAAATGGTTTTTTATATATTGTTTACAGTCAGAGTAAATCACTGGATTTTTTTATTTGTTTTGATTTGCTCTGTTTTAATCAATCATAACTAGAATTTATATGCTTCCGCTGAAGAATTTGTATCAGCTAGTTTATATACAAAAAGATTTGCTCAATGAAATAACTGGTAAACTGAAAAGATGCAGCCAAAATGCTTGAATTCTTGTAATTATGCTTCTCTGAATGATCATTTGTGAGGCAAAACATATCTGAACTGAGCCTTTGGGGAGGGTTCGGGGAGAGGAAAGGAGACGACATCTTTTCTAGCACAAATAACCTTTTCAGATTGGAGGAAAGAAATACCTAATTGGTTCAGTGAAGAGCAATTACTGTTTTGGGAAGTTGCAGTTACACAAAATCTAATACAGTTTGATTGGCAAGAAAATCTTATCCACACACAGTTTATGTAAAAATATACAATCCTATATAGATATGTATTTATTATGACATAAATGATATCAACAATGTTGAGGATTTCTCCCCATCCTTGTACAATGAAATGAATTGAATGTCTCTTACTTTTTAAACACTGCAATATATGTAAGTTTTAGGGTTATTTAATAATGTACTCTGGTTTTATATCTTGACTTGCCTTGTACATCTTTCAATCCTGGAATTTCTGCATCGAAGCACAATATCTTCACACTGTGCTGTGTTGCTGCTGAACTAAATGCACTTTTCCCTATATTTGGGGCACTTGCTTCAAACAATTCAGTTCAGTATCATGTATCATTTGTTTTAACTTCACCCTTTCCCTTAATAGTTACTGCAAGAGGCACAAGTTGAGTTGTGCAAAGAAGCTTTTGATAGCTCAGTGGAAATACTGTAAGTTGTGCATGTACTCTCTGATATCTTTTCTTTTTCCATATTGCATTAAGGCTAACAGTGTTGTCTAAGTGGCACACATTTCCTACAGTACTGTTCTTTTTTGTAGTGCCAGTATAAATTATTTGCATTATCATGGAGACTAAAAGGGCAGTTACATTCCAGTAGGTATCCCAAAACTCCCCTTTGTAGTGAATATAAATTGTTGATTGCTATTTGACCATTTCCATTTAAGTGGGAATTGTATATTTTGAACAAATCTATCAATTATTGGGATAGGGGAGTAAGATGGTATTGTTTTTTCCCCTCAAAACTCAGTACAGTTAAGGATTGTACTGCCTTAGGCTAGAATCACTCTTCTTATTTATCTGACATTTTCATAAGGAAGAACTTTTAAATGAAAGGCAGGTGGAGATATAAAACCCTAAGGGGCTTAAATGTGCTGTAAAACTATTGTAGATGTCACTGGATTTTACCAGGTAATATCTTTTTTTTCCTCTCTTTTTCCATCTATTGTGGCTTTTCAGTTTAAATTTTGTTTATAAAAGAACTAGTTTATTACTGCTCTAACTAAAGCAAAAGGTTTTTTTTTCTTAGCATAAAGATATTAAAATATGAAAATGCTGAAACTTGGACTTTGAAGACCATAATCTAACTTCTGAAAAATAATTAGAAAGATTTGTGATCATTATAACTCTTTAAAATGAAAATGATGCCCCATATCTCTTAAAATATAGGTTTTCCTTTGCTTTAATGAGGGGAATGCCTTTTTAGTTTGTTAATCTATTACAATGGGGCAAAGATAAACAGTTTTATTGTAGTACTGAAGCTACCTGAGAAAGAGAAAATGAGGGCCATTGTAGAGACTTCTAATGAGTATAAATCAAATGTCTTCTAATGGCTACCTCCTTATAAAACAGCACATGGATTTCTTTGCCTCTACTAGCCAGAAACAAGCATGAACTTTAATTGGGCTATGCTCATTAAGCAAGACGTTTCATGTGTAAATAGCTTGATCTGAATTTTCACCTTTCTAAGGTGTACTGCTAAAATGATGTATGATCAGAGCTGACCCTCTTCCTGAAATTGCAATGGGATGAGTAGTTGGTTTACCTAAAATAACATGCTTGCTGCTTTCTTTTAAAGAAAATATGACCAGTCTCTCCATTATCCTGTGAATAAATAAAACAAAAAATGTAGACTACAGTATGAAACAGATCCTTTTTTAAAGTTTTCCTTCTTTTAATGTATGGTAGCTAAATGGCAATGCTATTTACTCTATAAGGAGGTGTTACGTATGTGTGTATGTCTGTCTGTGTGTCTCCCAAGTGGTTATTTTCCTGCAGTAAAAAGGGGAAATACTAAAGAGTTTTGTGGAAATTAAGAATACAAATAAAACCAATATGAAGTAGAAGCTCTAGGAAGAAAAAAATACGCATAAAATGCGTTGTTGTAATTGTAATATTAAAGGTTGGATACTGTAATTGGAATGATCTTTAATAGTTCACTTGCATATGTCTAATTTATCCCACTGTGTATTTTGAATCAGTTAAAATGGATAAACTGCTCTGTGGCAAAGTGTACCTAGTTTTTCAAATCCTCCATTATGTGCATCCCTTTGGTTTTTAGTCTGTGTATTGTGCCACATTTCAGCTGGCAGACTACTTTTGCTTATCTGTACAAATAGTTCGTGATCAGATTCACAATGGAGAAGCAAGCAGTACAATTCAAAATAGTCAAGAGAAGGAATTGATATTGCTAGGCAAAATAAGATAAAATATTTCTTTCTACCAGAATGAGTAATAAATTAATGAACCAGATGCCTTAGTTATAACTTTCCATTTCAGTATTGCTCTGATCTTATGATAGATACTTCCTCTGGAGTCAATTAGTGGAGATTAAGAAGGGTGACAATCTTCAGTGATGCAAGAATCTATATTCTGAATGTAAGAAAATCATGGTATTCATCTGGAATTCAGGGAAGTAACCCTGAGAGTTAAAAATTTATAGTCTTTATCATAGGTAATAAAGTCAATATTAGTGAATTAGTGAATATAGTGTGGTGTGATCTTGATAACAGTAATTATGAGGGGGAAATCATGAATTATTAAAAACACAAAAATAAATAGAAAAGATAATTTATATGTGTGTGTATGTGTATATGCACATATATGTATGTATATATGCACACATACACATAAGTGTATATGAAGTCAGTTTTACTGGATTTAAAATTTATTTAAATAAGACTTGACTACTACCCAAGAAAGAAAAAGAAAAACTTTTTCTTAACGTTAGTGTTATCTCACATACATTTAACGTCTTACTAAATGAAATTAATCTGAACAAACCAATTATAACCAAGAAATATCTCAGAGTAGGACAATAGTGGTGGCTTGGAGGGAAAAAAGGACACTTTTCTTCCCACTTCCTACTGAAGGATGAAGAAGAATAACTTTAAAAGCCTAGTCATCGCTATATCACTAATAATAATAGCTCACATTTATATATAAAATGTTTTAAGGTTTTCAAAGTACTTTCTTCACAACAATCATGTGAGCTAAGTAGGTAGTGCAGGTTTTATCATCACCCTTTAAAGATGAGGAAATTGAGACTTAGGTTAAGTAATTTACCCAGGGTCAAACAGCTAGTAAATGTCAGAGCCAGAACTCAAACCCAGGTCTTCTGACTCCAAGTCCAGGGCTCTTTCTACTACACCATGCTGCCTCAGATTGTTCTGTGAAGAACGATCCTAATATTGATTGGATAATAGGATTATGTAAGTGACATTTTTAGCATGTTATGTGTTATGGGAAACCTAAAAATGATCCTATTTTGAAAGTTTTATTGTAGGCTAGTTGGTGCTTCAATGAATGTCCTTTAGATTTCTGTGCTGTCTTGTCCACCTTTGACCTTTGCCAGTGTTATATAGAAATTAGCATGTTCAGACTTTTGAAAGCTAAATATATGAGTAGCATTTGCATCAGCCATATATATCATTTTCTTCTAATGATTTTGGGGAATACTTCTGGCTCAGCAAATCTGTTCCAGCTGGTAAGCACTTATATGATACCCTCTCACCCCCTCAGCCTCACTTTGTGTTATCTAAAAATACAATGTAAAGAGGAGTGTTTCAGGTTACTCCTCAAAGTACCTACTTTTTTCAATATAAATTTTAATTACAAAAATTATGAACCGTGTCATCAAATAATCTTAATTCTCATGAGTTATCCTCTATTTCCTGACTTCGAACATTAATGTATCCTTTTAACATACCACAGATTACAAAGTCTCCTTGTAGTAATTCAACAATTTGAATGCAGCAAAGTATTTTTGCATAGTCAGTAGTGCACCTCAGTTGTATCTTTAGTATGCATGTCAAAACTTGCTTTTAATTAGATGTACAGTTGGCAGTCATTTGCACAACATGACAAATTTACAAGGCACAGTTAGAACAATTACAAACAGGATAGTATGTACAAACAGTATCTAATGGTTTTGGCTTTTATTCCAGCAAACATCAATGCATCTTCTGATGTGTAGGTCTTAACCAGGACTGCACAGAGTTTAGACTGTGGAAAATTCTTGGCCACATTCAGTTGTGGTGAAAAGCTAAACAAAGTGTAAACAGTCCACAAAAAAAATGTACTTTTAATCTCACTTGTACTGTTGATTGTTTATGTCTATATAAAAATTGCCTTGCCTTTTTTATAAGTCATTCTGTATTAATTGCATTCATTATAAATAGTATATTTGTAAATGTGCTGCCATTGAGTCTTTTGAAAGGTTTCTAGTGCTGAGTCTGAAGCTGGTTGTAAAGTGAATTTTGTCACATGAAAAATGCAGCTATTGTGAAATTGAGAGAACTGATTTTCAATATCATTTAGTCCTTTGAAGATAAATATATAGAAGGAAAAAAATACACCAATTAATTTTTTCCTACATTGCATGACAGCAACTGCCTCAAATAAAGACTTGCTTAAATTTTACATATTTACTAGCTATAAAAATAGAAAGCATTTTAACAACTTTTTGCATTCTCTCACTGATTAAAAATGAAGCATACTATTTATTTACTAATGGCACCTTTGCAGTTGAGACAAAGATGCTACTCCTTCATTTTTATAGTTCTACCCCAGTGGTATTTTATCACATTCTATAAATCACAGAATGACAACCACAATAATAATTATGTTGACTTTTTAATGTGTGTATGTATATACCCTCTGTCTCTTTCTATATCTCACTTAAAACATAACAGACTTAAAATATAACAAACTATATATTATATATGTTGTGTGTATATATATGTACACATATACATGTGTCTGTGTTCTGTATTTTGCTTATATATGGATACATGAGTATGTGCATGTATGTATACATCCACACATATATTTTCCCTTATTAGGGTATTCTAATCCAATGTCTCAGTGTGACATGTTAGTGACCCTGGGATCTAAAAGACGTGCCAATTGAGCAGGTCCTACTAAATTGGAAAAGCTTTGAATATAGTCGCTGTGATAGACTGTATTCCTTTTGTGACAGAATCTATGTAAGTTTGGAGAGGTTTTTCTCCATGTTGGCTACAGAGTAATGAACTTAACAACCATATCAACTCTTAAAGCTTATCAGCTAAGTCATAGAAGTATGAGATATGCTTTCGTCAGGGTAGGAGGTGGGGAGTGGTAGGTACTGTGTTAGAATTATGGATTCCTTGACCATGCCATTTAAAACTTCTAGGTATGTTTAAATGTGGAAGCTAGTGAACCTAAAGGAATAATTGGAGGGAAGAAAAAGGAATGCAATGTATCAATTATTGAAATGGAAATTATTGAAAATTCATTTTTATACTAGCTGTGTGACCCTGAGCAAGTCATTTAACCCCAATTGCCTCACCAAAAAGCAAAAAAATTCATTTTTATTGAAATTAATTTTAAGTAGATTTTTAACAGTTCTCAATGACAAAGGATTTAATGAGAAAGAGATATAATACAAGTTAAATTAGATCTTAAAATACTCGCTAAAGGCATATAGTAGCATCATTTACATGTATAAACGAGATGAGAATAGTAGTAGGAAACCAGATTGGCTTATACAAATATAAATCTCCCTACACTGTTCTCCCCACTACATTCTCATTAGAAAAGTATGGATTTCTCCTTTTACTCTTAGTTCTATGAATTAGTGTCTTAAAGACACTAATCCTGACAGTGAGCTGACAGTAACCTGCATGACCATATGAAGAAGAGCTGAGGATTATGAGTCAGAAATGAAATGATGAAAATCACATCCTTTTAAGAAGTCAACTTGAAGGTCAGTCAGTGAACCAGAATAATTGTAGCGGATATCTACTGCAAGTCCTTGAAGCTTCTCTTTATCGCATTAAAAAAAAATGTACTTGTAAATAGCTTAGTAATGTTTTCACAAATCGTAGTGTCCTAAAACATTAGAAAATTTTATTGTTATTTTAGATCACTCCATTTATGAAACTGTTGTTTCATAAATATGCTTTTTTAAATAATTTCCCCCTTGTTTTCTAAATGTTCATTTGCTTTTTTGTACCTGATTTGTTATCAAAACTACATTTTGAAATTGTTTATTATTCTCAGTTGAGCAGGTCATTTGGTTCCTGTTTAACTGCTGATGTTTCTTTGCTCTTTTCAAAGTTTGAGTTTGGTGGGCTTTTTTAGCTCAGATTGTTCTGATTTTATATTTTTATTTACCACCCTTATTTTTCTAGTCTGTGACAATTCATTGCAGAGATAAAGTCTTGAAGCCCAAGAAAAAGATCCTCATAGTTTAAGTTTTACAAGTACCGGCATTCACAGAGAATTCTTAACACATTCATTTGATCCTCATAACTCTGTGAGATGGGTACTACATATTTTATAGGTGAGGAAATAGGCTGCAAGAGGCTGTATGAATTGCCCAGGATTACCTCTCGTGTATTTGTTAGTAAGTATCAAAGGTGGGATTTGACAGCATGAATCAGTCTCCTGACTCTCAAATCCATCACTTTACAGATTTTTTACTCCCTTTCTGGTTATACAAATTCATCTGCACTGTATGTGCTTCCATATAAAACAACAGTAAAAACGAAGAAATTGGAGAAATGGACTGACACATCTGGTATAATTTGGCTTTCTGTGTAATATATACCTTTTTTTCTTATTTGCATTTGATTTCCTTAATTTGCTC